TAGGGATCACCCCCGACGATTTCCACGATGATCCTTGACGAAAACTCTTTGATCTCCTCTTCTTTTTCTCTTCTTTCTCTTCTTCTTCTCCTCTTCTTCTCTTCTTCACTCTCGAGCCTTAGCTCTCACTCTTTTAAAATGGGACTAAATTGATCCACAATCAGCCTAACACAAAAATATAACCTCAAAAGAAATGATTTGTGAAAAGACAAAAATGCCGTAAAATTTCCGGACGGATCCCTGTCAACTTCCCAACTTTCAAAGGGCATAACTCGCTCATACGAACTCGTAATTGAGAAACCTCGGTGGCGTTGGAAAGATCATTCCATGAAATTTGCAACCATAACTGGAACTCCACCTAACTCATCCTGAGCTAGAATTTATGGCGGTTCAAAGTTGGCCAAAAACTCACCTTTTCCCATACTTAGCCAAATTTCCAGATTTTCAAATTCTTTCCAAAAAATGAAAAATTTCAAATTCTAAGCCTCTTCTTAGTTATTTCAATTTGCCGGATGTTACAATATCTCCCCCTTGGGAACATTCGTCCTCGAATGAGGTTACTTTTACAAGGCTGAGGGTGTAACATCAATTCAGACACCCAACGAGCAATCCTGCAAACAACAACAACAATTACATGCTCACTAAACTTCAAAGAGCACTAAGAAGGAATTTAATACCTTAATCTGTATTTCCTCCGGATTCAAAGAGATAGGGATATCTCTTTTTTCATTTCCTCTTCGGCTTCCCAAGTAGGTCCCTCAACTAATTGCTTCCTCCATAGGACCTTGACTGAGGCTACCTCTTTCGTTCTCAACTTGCGAACTTGGCGATCCAAATCTGAACCGGAATCTCCTCATGACTCGTTTCCTGGTTGAAGCTTTCAAACATACTCAATCTTCTACTTCAAACTCTAACGCCCTTCTTTTAACATCAGTGTAGGAGTTTTGATGACTCTGTGCCGTTTCCATCCTTTCTTAAATCACTTTCACCTTCTCCATAGATTGATGAACTAACTCTGGATATATCAACCCTACTTCACTAACTTCAAACCATCCAATATGAGATCTACATCTTCTCCCATAAAGAGCTTCGTAAGAATCCATTTGGATGCTAGAATAGTAACTATTGTTGTAATTAACTCCATGTAAGATAGGTGATCATATCAATTATTCTTGAAATCAATCCCACAATCCACCTTGATACCTCAAAACACCATCTCCCCCTTGTTCAAAAGTCATCACTGCTTATGAACATTTTGTCTGAAATTCCAGCAAGATAGGGTCTGGGTCTCTTCTCACCTTCTACTTTTGGCACTAATGATGGGTCAGAGCCATTTATCCTCCATATTCCTCCTTGTGCAATCCACAAGACTAACTCCCAGACGTGCAAATCGGTGCACATCTCTTGCTAATTCTCTCTGTTCTTCCTCAATATGGGTGGTGCTACCCATAGACAACTCGCTTAAAGAATCAGTAACAACATTTAACCTTACCACGGTGATAAAGAAAACTCATGTCATCATCATTCAGTACCTTAACCACTCTTTCTCTGTTTGGGATTAAGCTCATTCTAAGTGAACACACCCATATGAACATCATACAGTAAATGACGCCATATCTTCAAAGAAAAAATTACAACAACTAACTCTAGCTCATCATAATACACCACAAAACCTTGAGTACCTTCTGGTAAAGTCAACACTGGAGCTGTAATCAACTTTTTTTTTTTAATTTCTGAAAGCATTTCTCACAAGCTTCAGACCATTGACATTTCACTGTCTTCTGAGTCAACTTTGTCAAAGAAGATGCAATAGACGAGAACCCCTCAACAAACCTTCTATAATAACCAGCTAAACCCAAGAAACTCCTAATATCAGTTGGAGATGTGGGTCTAGGCAAATTCTGCACTGCCCCAATTTTTTGAGTATCAACTTTTATTCCATCACCGTTCACAATGTGGCCTAGGAACGCCACAGACTCAAGCCAAAACTCACACTTAGAGAACTTGGCGTACAACTCTTTCTCTTTCAAAGTCTGAAGAACTATTCTGAGATGACTAGCATGGTCTTCTTCATTCCTTGAATAGATTAGTATGTCATCAATAAAGACAATAACAAACATATCTAAATAAGGCTTGAAGACTCT